GGGCTTGTCTATTGGCGTCATGGCCGCGTGTAAAGGAGCACAGACTTCTTCCACTCTTGGTTGAGCCTTGGAGATGCAGCGACAAGGCACCACATACAGGTCTGCTATGGTGGTGTGGCTGGGAAGTAATACTGGGGTTTTCCCCAGATTGGTGAGCTGTACCAAAACCTTCCCTTTGTGAATTTTGGACAAGGTATGGCCCACCAGCCACTCTCATGTTGTCCTTGCGGGGTTTGACAATAACGGTGGCTCCCTGTAACATATTGTGGGCCCCGATGGGGAGTGACCAGACCACCTCTTGAAGGGGAAATAGGAGAAATTTCTGCCTGGTAGGAGCGCGGACCATCCTCACTTGTTCAGGCTGTTTCCTGGCTATCCTTTGTTTGGCCTCATAGGCCTGGATCACTTTGAGCCACATATGGGATTATATTTCTTTGTCACTGCCAACACTGCTTCTACTTCTTCTCGTTCCCGTGTAATTACATCGAAAAGAGATGGCGCGTTGCATCCCGATTCACTCTTACAGGGCTCTCCTGACAGGACCAGCTTTCATGCCCACTATAAACTGATCCCTATGATGCAGTGATATCAGCACAGCTGTGCACATCACTCTTTTCCTGGATCTTCGAACGATTCTGGAGTTCTGTCACAAAAGTGAGATTCTAATCCTTGCTTCCATACAAAGAATCTCCATCTCAGCTCCGGGACAGGTACCTTTTCTCCTAACAAGCCCTCCAGATGTGACACAATCAGTTCTAATGTAGCCTGTTCCTCCTCCGGCAGCACTATCACCGTTCTGTGAGCATCATCCTCTAAGGCATTAATAGCCAGCTTCATGATTAGCTGGGCTGGAACCTGGTACAGTCTCACGGCACTTTCTAGGCTCTCTTCCCACTCAGCCAAGGGAATATTGGAGTGTTTAAATATAGGTACTAGCGTTAGGGCTGATCCTAGTGCTGCCATGATGGAGTCTTCTCCTCCTTCCGAACTTGTAAGAAGGGACATATATCCTGCTGACTGCCACCAAGCATGGTGCTGCAGCAGTAAACACAGTGAGTCTGATGGAAAATAACAAAACTTGTAAGTGAAGAATTGGCCCAAACATGCAAACAGTCCAGTGGGAGCTCGGAACACTCACAGTTCTAGGCAAACTTGTGGATTGGAGCAGGTTCTGATGAACCAACAGCATCCGTCTCTTAGGGCAGAATGTGGCCTGGCCAGTCTAAGACCAAGGGGGAGGATTCCGATGCAGGATAGCGTGTCCCTAGCCTGTCTCTACTTATCTGGAACCATTCCCTACCACTATTCACTCTGACAGATGGGTGAACTGTCCTTGCACTACCCACTTGCCAAAAATTGTGCCAAAGCCTGGGGTTAGGCACATTTTAAAAGGCTCTGTTGACCCAAGATGGCAGGATTTGAGGCATCTGTGTTTAGTTCTCCAAGATGTTTGCAACAACCTACCTGCCAAGTTCCTTCAAAACTTCAGGCACTGTGTGTACCTAGAAGTGATAATGTTTTGGAGGCAAAGGGTGGTTACACAACAAATATTGATTTGATTTTGATTCTGTTTTTACTTTCCATTTTGTTAATTGATAAAAATAAACTATTAACTCTTCTATTTCTGAAAGCATAATTAATTTACAGCATTTTTTCACACCTGCACAGTACTGTATATATATACACACACACACACACACACACACACACACACACGCATGCTTGTTTGAGATTTGGGTGCACACCCTAATGCTATAGGCTGCATACACCTATGACATCTAAAAAATGTCAAGGAAGACAGTAAGAATTGTTTGACAATATATCTATAGTACATTTATCCTGGAAGTGGACATTTAGGAATTTCCAAAGGAGCAACTCAATGACAAAAGACTTACTATAAACACCCAGAAAAAGGAAATACATGCAAATGTTTTTTTTTACATTTTGGCCTGCAACATGTCCCTTTCATTGCCCATCTAATTGTAAAATCTTTGCAGCCTTCTAGACTAGTTCCTTATGTTTTTATAACATTGCATGTTGTACAGGAAACATATATCTCAACATCTATAAATGTCAAAAGGTGCCAATAAGAATTGTTTAACTCTATATCAATAGTACATTTAACAAGTAGGAATTTCCAGAAGAGCAACTCAATGACAAAAAAACAATTTTAAGACAATAGACAATGCTGGATTTATTGAATGTTTTTAAAAACCTCCAACTGCAGCTTTTGGACAATAGGAGCCCTTTCACGCTCCAGAAAAAAAAACGCAGTAAAAACATGTATGCATTTTTATGCGTTTTCTTGTTCCCTGACCCCCAGCATGGACATGTGACTCAAAAAACGCACCAAAAATGCAACCTAGGTGCTTTTTTTTTTACGATTTTTTCCATTTTTTTAAATGGGCAATACAGTTTTGGTGCTGTTTTTAGACAGGACACCAAAGATGCAGCATGCAGGACATTTAAAAATGCACTGCACCCGCAGGGCACTGGTGTGAAGAATACCATAAGATTTAAAGGGAAATATTTTTATTCTGTTTTCTTGCACTTCAACACATCAAGGTGAAAGGGCCTTAAGTAGTACAAGCCAGTGTATATAAACGACCAGAAGGGAGCAGTGCAGGGGCGGGTGGCCATTTATAAGCATCCTCCCCGCTTCCCTGCTTGTGCTCGCTCCCTGAGAGCGTGCAGCACCACAATCCGGTGCCCACTGTGTCTGGAGGACACAGCGAAATACCGATCATTGTACAGGACCTCTATGTGAGGTCCCGATCATGTGATCACTGATTGGCCACTTCTGACATCATTGCTTCCTACTAGTGAAATCTGTGAATGATCACAGAGATCACATGGTACAAGGCTATTCACAACAGCCTTGTACCATGAGACAAGCTGTGACCAATCACAGCTCACACAGTATTTCTCAATGGCTGCAAGAATGCAGCCAGAGAGAAGGAAAAATGATTGCTTTTACATCCTTTATGGGTGTAAAAGCAATCAGTGTAAAAAAAAAAAAAAATCTTCACCACCACCCACAAGCAGTACAGTGATAGGGCTTTACACATGCTGTACCCCCAATATTTTGCTTTGCCCCCCACAGCATTTCTACCTTGGGTTGACAGGCAGCACCGCCTGTCAAACTTGCCTATTGAGTTAAATGGGGCTACACCACAGCTTTGAGTTGAACACTGGAGCAGTCCTGCAATGTAAAATTGGCATTTGGTAATTTAAAAATAAAAGTATAAAAAAACAGGCATTCAGGAGGTGAAGATTTCATGAGGTTTGGCAAATGCCCTGTGTGTGTTGATTTTCGATTTGTGTTAAAGGGGCCCTGTAGAACCCCCGGTTCAGCAGATCCCCAGCTCATTATTATCCTCATTCAGCAGATCCCCAGCTTATTAGTACCCTTGTTCAGCAGATCCCCTGCTCAGTAGTACCCCCAGCTCTGCTGATCCCTCACTCAGTAAGAACCCTCATCTCTGCTAATATCCTGCTCAGTAGTGATCCCCAGCTCTGCTGATCCCCCACTCAGTAGTAACCCCCAGATCTGCTGATCCTCCAGTATGGTCCCCACTCACCTCTGGCTATATTGTTGCTATGCTGCTCACTATGTGTGACATCTGCAAGTTTCTCCTGCTCTGGTCCCCCAGCTCAGTAGTAACCCACAGCTCTTCTGATCCCCCACTCAGTAGTAACCTCCAGCTTTTCTAATCCCCCACTCAGTAGTAACCCCCAGCTCTGCTGATCCTCTGGTTTGCTGATCCTCCTCTCTTTCTGGTCCCCGCTCACTTCTGGGTATATTGCTCCTATGCTGCTCATCGCGTGTGAAATATTCTAGTTTCTCCTGCTCTGGTCCCCCAGCTCTGCTGATCATTTGTAGCTCAGACCTCTTTCTGTTGCCTGCTTACCTTCCACTATTGCGTTCCCATGATGCATGCCATGTGTTCCTTCTGCTCGTTTCTCCGCTCCAGTCCTGATCCTGCTCACCTTCCTCCTGCTCCATGTTACACAACAGATGTGATGTCTGCACTAGACACGTCTAGAAAATATACTGTATACACATGAACCAGGGGTGGCTTCTGATGACATCCTTTTGGTTTCCCTGTGCATCCTGAGATATCTCATACCTGTAATACTACATTAGCACATTTTGTCATAGACTTTTATGGATGAGATGCTTTGAAGCACCAAGAAAGTGACATGGGGGATAATTTTTGAAGTAAAGCAAACGCAATGTGTAAACAGGACTGTAAGCTTACCATTTTATTTCATGACAGGGGCTTTGATTGGCATTCAGAGTGCTTTAAAAAAAAAAAGAGTGTCCAATGCTACATTGTGAAGCAAACATAAATGAGCCCTTCCTGCAACAATCTTTATAAATGTAACCAAATGATGGCTAATATGGTCTACAGAATGTTACTATCTCACCCTCAAAAATACAGAAGTGGATGGCATTTTTTCAAATAACAACTTTTTGAACGAATACTTTCAAAACAGACGTGGTATCCTATCTCTCTGGAGTTCACCGAATATATGAGTTTGTGATTTAACTTACCGACATCCAGAAATATCTGTCTGTGGACTTACCCTATTCAAGACTCTTGCAAAAGGTATGAGGAAAACAGTTTGGGGAGTCCCTTGAGTCATATATAAGAGGTTTACTGTCCATGGTACTGAGGTAACAGGTTAAAACAAATCCATGGTCAAATGAAAAATCATATATTCACTTCCACATTGTATTTCAATTATTTATAGCCTAATCCTATTAATCTGAATGTTCAATTATTTTTAGCCTACTCCTATTAATCTGAATGTTCTTGAAGTTTGTAAACTTACCGTATTTTTCGCTCCATAAGACGCACCTAGATTTTAGAGGAGGAAAACAAAAAATTCTGAACCAATGGACTGCAGACATAGTACAGGAAATGTTCAGAGATTGCTGATGTACTACAGGAGATGACCAGAGACTGTGGACATAGCACAGGAGATGACCAGAGACTGCGGACATAGTACAGGAGATGACCAGAGACTGCGGACATAGTACTGGAGATGGCCAGAGACTGCGGACATACTAAAGGAGATGACCAGAGACTGCGGACACAGTACAGAAGATGATCAGAGACTGCGGACATAGTACAGGAGATGGCCAGAGACTGCGGACATACTAAAGGAGATGGCCAGAGACTCAGGACATAGTACAGGAGATGGCCAGAGACTGCGGACAAACTACAGGAGATGACCAGAGACTGCGGACAAACTACAGGAGATGACCAGAGACTGCAGACATACTACAGGAGATGACCAGAGACTGCGGACAAACTACAGGAGATGACCAGAGACTGCAGACATACTAAAGGAGATGACCAGAGACTGCAGACATAGTACAGGGGATGACCAGAGACTGCGGACATAGTACAGGGGATGACCAGAGACTGAGGACCTTTGGGGAGGGGTGGGTGGGTACCCGAATTTGACAGGTACCCGCTCCCACTTCCGCGGAGTTGTCCTGCCTCCCCGTAGTCTTGTGGGACACGTGACAGGTCCCACAAGACTACGGGGCCATTCACAATGCGCAGCGCTTCTCATGCATGCGCAGTGGGCTGTGAAGTCACAAGCTGTCACAGCCGGAAGCCCACACTGAAGATGCCGGCGCGAGGGAGAGAAGACGGAAAATGAAACCAGGACACTGCTGAACCAAGGAACAGGTAGGACGGAGGAGCGGGTTCTTCTTCACAGTAGAACCGAGCGGCTGTACCATATTTGCTCTATAAGATGCACAGAAATTTCCCCCCATTTTTTTGGGGGAAAAAGTGCGTCTTATGGAGCAAAAAATATGGTACTTTATTAAGCTCCTCACACATTTACTTTCTTGAATTCTGTGACCTGTATTCACTATGCTCTGTGAGTAAGCTGTGTCATACATTTCACAGTCTACCTTCTACAGAGGTGCTGAGAGGAGGAGTTCCGGGAGGCGGAGTCAGTACAGGAATCACAGCTTGCATGCAGAAAGGTACCATGGGACATGTAGTCCTTAGAAATTGAACGTAAGCAGCAGAGGAGAAGCTGCAAAGCATGCAGGGAACCCAGGAAGTTGTGGAAAGAGATGACCAGCAGACAGGCCAAACTTAAGAAAGGAGATTTTTCAAGTAAGCTTAAATTGGATTGACAAAAATAATTGGTTCTTGTATTGTTATTAAAATGCCTATTTTATCAAATGAAAGTGTGTGCTGTGAACATAGAACATCTTTTAATTTTGTATATATTTATAGGCAGGGGTGGACTGACCATTTGGAAACTCGGGCACTGCCCGAGGGCCCAGGGTCAGTAGGGGGACTGAGATGCCCCTGGTACCTTTTTCATAGGCTTTTTTGAGTTTGGGCAAGGACACAGGGGCCCCATGTTCCCCTATTGCCCAGGGGCCCCATGAGTTGTCAGTCCGCCCCTGTTTATAGGAAATCAGCAAAGCTGTCAAAATATACACATATAGTGGAGGTCAAGGCAATGTCATCCAGACTGTATAATTCAGAAGGTGAACAGTACAGCTGATGAGAGTTTATGGGGGATCACACTTCCCAGGTGATACACGCTCTCTGCTTTTTGTCACGGAATTCTATCTGACACAAGTGGTATATTTAGATGTGTTGTACTAAGACAGGGCAGAAGGAGTGGTCCACCCTGAGCGCAGGAAACAAGAGGGTGCATTAATTGTGGAGACTGGGGGTCTAACAACAACCAGCAGGTGAGCAGGCAATCCTGAGTGGATTAACTTCCCACCAGATGGTACCTGTAATGTTCTGGCAATTATGTCATTCAGCAGCACCAGAGACAGTAGCTTGGGAGCAGCTGAGCCTCTCTTCTCTAAAGTAACTTATCACTGACATCAGTGTCCGCTTTAGATGAACTCCCAATGGCTACCAGTGTGCAAAGGTTCTTCACCACTTTATCAATGTAAGGGAGCACTTCTCTCCTGACTACCAATGCAAGGGGGTATTTCTCCATTGGCCTCTCATGTAAGGGGGCACATCTCCACTAACCACCAATGTAAGGGGACACTTCTCCACTGGCCACCAATGTATGGGAGCACTTCTCCCCTGACCACTAATGCAAGGGGGTATTTCTCCATTGGCCACTCATGTAAGGGAGCACATCTCCACTGACCATCAATATAAGGGGGCACTTCTCCACTGACCACAAATGTAAGGGGGCATATCTCCTCTAGACTAACTACCAATGCAAACAAGCACTTTACTGACCACCAATTTAAGAGGAACATCCCCACTGACCATTAATGTAAGAAAGCACTTTACCACTAATAACCAATGTTGGGGGAAACTTCTCCACTAATGGCAAATCTAATGGGGCATTATAGTGACCATCAATGCAGTTTTACTACCTACCAATATAGGAAGCCACCAACCACCAATATAGTAGGGCACCATAGTGGCCACCAATTTAAGCACATACTACATTGAACAATGGTGTAAAGGGGCACGTTACTGACCACTAGGTTTGTTGGGGTGTTGGATAGTGCTGGATTTAGATCAGGATAGCTATCCTCAGGTGATCCATTGCATGAAGAGTTATGGTGGAGTGGTAGGATCCTACCTACAACCCCACCATAGCTCTTCATGCAGTGGAGATCACATCAAGGTTGCTCAGCTGGAGGAGGGACCAATCTGTCAGGTCCTTCAAAATTTGCTAAAGGTGAGTGGAAAGCACCAGAAGACAAGTAAAAGGCTTATCTCTGAAGAGAATCTATTTCATAACAACAAAGAAAAAAAAGGCAATGTTTAGAAAAGGAGAAAACACAGGTATGTAGAATACAGGTGGGTAGAAATCCACAGAGCAAGATTTTATACAAGGGAGACAACAAAATTCATAAAAGACATAAAGACTTAGAAGAAAGTCAACATATCAATGTAAAAAACCAAAGAATATGGAGAACCATATAATAATTCAACAAGAATAATCCAAATAAAAAGTATCAAGAATAAGTTTACATTCCTATTTACTGATTATCTTGTGTACAAACATTTATATATCGACCCCTGTTTGACCCTACAGTTGAGTTTAGGTATGGCAATTTTTTATATAGTTGTCTTGGTCCAGCTTTGACTAATCTAAGATCCCCATGGAAACTGGAAATGACTGTAGTAGGCACTGCTACTACAGTGATCTCCACTAGCGGGGCAGTGACATCAGGTTCTCCTCCTCATCCAGTCAAAGTATGCTTTGGACACATTGTGAAAATGCAGTGTTCTCTGAATGGCACCTGTGCTGATCAGGCAACCTCCTTTGTTCAGTAATCAGCAATCTCTGAAAATATACTTCACTTCCCTCTAAATGGGATATTTTGATGGTGGTGGTCATAGGGTGAAGCTTTTGCAAAAGTCCACCAACATATCAATGTAGCTAGGACTGTGGATTTTCAAAACACAGCCAATATTATTATTGTTGTTATTAATCCATATAAAACACTATAAATTTAGAGAAGTCACCAAAGTCATAAGAAGTAAGAAAACTAAGGATAGCAAGCAGTAGATGAAAGGCAGGAAAGAATGGTCATGTATGGCGTTGGCAACTCCAAAGACTTATTGTGAGATATGTACAGTATGCAGAGGCGTAGCTTGAAACTTGTGGGCCCTGATGCAAAGTTGACCTGGAGCCCCCCACTACCAGCTGCCACTTCCACCATGCACAAAGATAATCTCACCACGCGTTAGGATACTCCAAGTGACAAATGACTTATTTCAGAGTTTTATTTACATATTGAGAGGGTAATTCAAAAGATTTTGCAAAAACTATCCAATTTTGACATACCTCTCCAATTATAATAAGATGCCCCCCTCCCTCCCCTCCACCATCCTGGTAATGACATGCTCCCCCCCCCCCCCCACATTCCTGGTAATGGCACGCTCCCCCTCCCCCCACCATCCTGGTAATGACATGCCCCCCCCGATCCCCTCCATCCAGGTAATGACATGCCCCCCCCATGCTGCTCAAATTGACAAAATAAATTTGTGGCCCCTTGGGACTCCTCAGGAGGTGTTAAGGGTTTTTTTTTAAAATAATTCTTCTGTAAGTGTTGGCAGGACAGGTGCTGTGGGGGGCATAAGTTTCAGCGGTCCTGTCCTGACTCTCAGGTAGCGCTCTCCTTCTGCCTTGCTCTGTTTTGTGTGACAGAGAAGCAGCTCACTGTCTCCCCCCGTTTTCAGCACACTGGCACCACACTGCCCTGTCCCAGGCTGCTCACCATCCTGCACTGAGTCCACTCCATTCAGGAAACTGGACACACATGACTTCTCCCAAGCCAATGAGAGTGGGGGAGGGGTGGGGACTAGGGTCTGGGGAGAAGGCAAACTGGAAGCTTGGGACTGAATTGCAGAGCTCTGCTGGGGCCCTGGAAGACAAACGGTGAATCGGACCTGGATTCTGTCTCTGGGATTTGTGGGAGAAAAATGCAACATATAAGATGACAGCATTGAGTGGCGGGTCCCCTGGAGCTAAACACGGGGGTCACAGTTGTGACCTCTGCAACCCCTGATGCTATGCCCATGACAGTATGATCTCAATAAACTGGGTAGGGTTAAACCTTTTGATAGTCAGGGTTATTTTGTGCCCTTTTGACTACAATAATTCCAGCTACAAAATTCTGGGAGCATGCCATCTTTCTCCATTTCCTGACAGTGAAGAGCAACGAGAACATATTTTTATGTCAATGCAGTATTTTTGCAATTCTAGTTTATGGGGAGATTATGACAATGATCAGCAACTGGGAGCCAATGAGTTCAGCTTCTAGCCTCCCTGTGACCATTGCTGCTAATTCAGCCTCACCAAAGGAAAGCCCTGAACAGGGAAATGTACATTTGAGTACACTTCAATCTTATGGGTGACTGAACTCAATGTGTAAACAAACAGAAATAGCCAGCTCAGATGATAACCCTGGTATTGGAATGCATTGCTTATTAGGGTGTGGATTTACCTTGGTTGGTCTCCTAAGTGATTAAATTGTAATTTTATATATATATTGTGGGGTTAGCTCAGGTGGGGGGATCACCTTCTCTGGGTAAAACAAGTAGACCGCACAGCAGGCATTCTTAAAACTCTGACGGGTTGTCAGTTTTTATTCACAGGTTTGCATAAAAATATCCAAAATAAACAAAACAGCAAAATAAACCCTTGTCATACAGGCACTAACTAAACATAGAGCTTTCCCTCTCTTACTGGTGAAGGGCTTCTCCCTGTCACCAACAAAACAAAACAAAACCATAAAGCAAACCTGGTCTCTTATGGTATCACAATCACTTTCAAACACAGCTCTGTCAGAATGGTTTTTCTGAGTCCCGGGCCACACAAGCAACTCCTTGCTCCAGTCCTGTCTTATTTATACCACCTGTGGTGGTCATCAGTGGAGCACA